TCAAACTATTCTCCAAAGCATCTCAGGGAAGGACAAGAAACAATGGATAAAAAGTAATCAAGGAGAGAAGAACATAGAACTAACTAAGGAGAGATTTTCTGACCTTTAGAACAATTAATCAGTGAAACAACTTGCCTCCAGAAGTTGAGAATGCTTCCATTCTAGAAGTTTTTAAGAAGAGACTGGTCAACCTACGCTTAGAGTTCATAAAGATGCCAGAAGTCAAGGAGCTTAAGAAACTGGAATGGAATGCAGAATTTTGACTCATGTTTCTTCTGCTTCAGGTTGATACATTTAGGCATTATAGGCATTCATTAAGGATGTTCCTCACTCTTGTTTTTAAGTTTGTATGTGTGTAAGTGACTGGAGCCATAGAGAAGAGAAAAGGACGAAGTTCCAAAAATGGTTTATCCCAAGAAAGAAAAGTTTACCTTTTATAATAATAATAATAAAAGGAAGAAGACCCCTAACATGGAATAATACTGAGTGAAATGATCCTGGGAAGGAACAACATTCTAACGATGCCATGAAGATTGAGTTCACATCAAATGAAATGCCAAGGAAAGGACTCTGGCTTAGGATGCTTAATTCCTGTTTTTCAGGAATTAAGTCATAGTATAAAACGAAGGCTGCTTCACACAATTTGCCCTGACCCCAAACTGGTTAACCAACCGGACAGGAAAAGTTCACATGAAACGCAGGGCTTGAAACGACACACCTGAAAAAGATGTTCACCCAACCTCTTAAGCCTGGAGGATCTGATCCTAGTTTGTTCTTTTCTCCAGGAGGATTTCCGGCCACCCTCCCCCTCCCCCCCATGCAGAGGCTCCCCCCTCCCTTCTGGCAATCCCCATTTCTCTCCTTGGCTCCCCTCTCCGCCCGGTCAGAGCATGAGAAAGGGCGGCAGGGGAACATGGGACCGCGGACTCCCACCCCAGGGGAAAATTTGGCCCTTCTCCACGCTCGCCTCCAGCACGGGACCCCTTTGCACGGGCAGAGCCGCCACTCACGAATCTCGGGAGTCTCGTCGGGATTGGCGTCTCCGCAAGGCTCCCCGGCAGCCTCTGCGCCTCTGGCAAAGGCCCCGATCCAGGCTCACAGAGGGAGAAAGGAAACAGAAAGGGCCGACGCGTCTCCAGCCTCTTCTGAACACGTCCTAAATAAACACGGTGACTTGGGCTAGAGGAATAGCGCAGCGCATGCCCAGTTCCCTACTGCAGCTGAGTGCGACCCCTGGTGGACTCTGTGCGAACTGACACAATTTCCCGAAAGGGCGGGAAAGAGCGCCTGAGGCAAGGCGAAGGGCAGAGATGATGGGTATGGGAGTAGAAGGAAAGGGTCCTTGCCCGAGAAAGGCGTGGCGTCTCCAGAGGCGGCAGCTTCTCCATCTTCCTGTCCAGGAAGCGTCTGTGGAGATGGAGAAAAATCTCCTTGGAGGATTTCAACTCGCTTCCCTCAAGAACAACTGCTCTGAAGGCTCTACAGATATTGAAGAAAAAGGGCCAAGTCCTGTCAGAAACGCCCAGGCGGTCAGATGATGAGGACCAGTTGCCTCTCTGGGAAACACAATTTGTGTCTTGCAGTTGTTGCAAACTCCAGCCTGAAGGGGAGGAAGATGGGAAACAGGCAGGGAAGCCACAACCGGGAAAATGGAGATTTCTCCCGTGTTTCTGGTTCTGTACCGCAGCTGGCCTTGTCCAATTCTTGGCTCTGGGAAGGCCAAGCCGCTGCTTGTGTCCAAGGAAAGGTTGAAGGGGGAAAAAAAAGCTGCTTCACAGTGGGGGGAAAGCTGAAACTAGTGGATGTTCCAGAAATTTTACCTCAACGGAGGCTCCTTGGAGGACAAATGAAGAGGGAAGAAACTGAAGACTTTGTCTTCAAAATTGCCCTTGTCTTATGCCTGGACTTTTGCCTTGTGGACTTGCTGGGTAATCTATGGGCTGTTGTTGGTGGGACTGAGGGTGGAGCCTTACTGGCCGTTGGGGGGCCATTTGTTGAACCATTCCCAAGAGAAATAAAGAACTGTCTAGAGCAGGCATGTCAAACTCACAACGTCACGTAACGTCGCGCAATGTATCAGGATGGTTTTGCCATTGCCGGCAATGGGGTATTCCCATTCTGTGTGACGCATCCGGCCCGTGGGCCGGCAGTTTGACACCCCTGGTCTAGAGGCCTACCTAACCGTTACAACCTGGGTCATAACAATAATAGTAATAATAATGATTATTATAATAATAAAGTTGGAAGGGACGTTGGAGGTGTTCTAGTCCAACCCCTGCTCAGGTAAGAAACATTCAGAGAAACGGTTGTCTTAAAAACTTCCAGTGTTGGAGCAGTCACAACTTTTGGAGGCAGGTTGTTCCACTGATTAATTGTTCTTTCAGGAAATTTCTCCTTAATTCTAGATTGCTTCTCTTTGATTAGTTTCCATCCATAGAATTTAAGGTAACCAGTATGTCTCTAGAGCATGAATAAAAAGGAAAGTACAATGGTTTTCTAATTTTGTATGACTGCCACTCTGATTTCTATTTCTCTAATGAAAAATTTGGACAATAGCCGACAGAAAACTGGTATTGGTGCATTTCCTCCAGTTTGACAAAGAATCATCTAAGGGTACTATTTGAATAAACTACTTCAACCCAGCAGGAGCCTCTGAAACTCTGAACTTTGTCCCACACTCAAATCCTTCCCCCCAAAATTGCCTATTAGCAATTCTTAGGACTTTTATTATTGTACAGTAAGCAGATGCAAAAAAAGCATTTTTCCCCCACAAACACTTTTATTAGACACACTTAAATCCTCACTCCTTACTTGTAAAGTAATAGTAACAACACCTTATTTTACTCTCTTCCTATTACCACGGCTTTGCAACTATGTCTATCTTACTTGATCTATATATTTTTCTTTTTCTTTTTTTGTATATGAAAACCTTTGCACTCCTCTGTAGATTTGGCAAAGTACTTNAAGCATCTTCAGTTCTGATGCTTCTTCAGAACGAAAGATGCTTCTTGGAGAAGAAGCAAAACGTCTTCAAGAAAACACAAAATCCAATTGCCTTTAGGAAAAGTACCTTTGGGACAACCATGACCTGGATGTCTGAGAATCTCCATAGGCATTTCTCAGGAGATTTTCCTCTCCCCTTCCCATGAATAATTTTTAGATTATTATTTTTTTATCGCACACTCCAGAGGAAGTTCCCATTCTCATTTCTGCTATAGAGGAAGAATGGTTTAAAAGGTTTTGTGTTGAACCGATGGATCAGGAGATGCAGCTTCTTGGAGAAGCAACCCCTATTAAACGTCTGCCTGATCACATTCCTCTATATTAATAATAATGATAAAGTTGGAAGGGTCCTTGGAGGTCATCTAGTCCAACCCCCTGCTCAGACAGGAAACCCTATACCATTTTGGACAAATGGCTGTCCAGTTTCTTCCTAAAACTTCTAGTGTTGGTGCATTCACCGCTTCTGGATGCAGGTTTTTCCACTGGTCAATTGTTCTAACTGTCAGGAAGTTTCTCCTTAGTTCTAGGTTGCTTCTCTCTTTGGTTAGCTTCCACCCGTTGCTCTTGTCCTGCCTTCAGGCGCTTTGGAAAATAGCTTGACTCCCTCTTCTTTGTGGCAGCCCCTGAGATATTGGAACACTGCTATCATGTCTCCCCTCGTCCTTCTCTTTGTTAAACTGTTCCTTATACGTTTTAGCCTCCAGTCCCCTAATCATCTTTGTTGCTCTTCTCTGTACTCTTTCTAGAGTCTCAACAATCATTTTCCAGCTCAATACTGGGATACATTCTCAGCTGAGCCCCTTGTCCACACTGAATACACTGAGGTGGGGATTGTAAATCCAGTAGCATTAAGTATAAATTAGAGGCTCTGATGTTACACTGTCACCAGATGTTTCCTTTTTGAACATTCTTGTAATTTAGCACAATATCCCAAGACGTTTCCAGTTTCAACATCTTAGAATTCATTATATAACTTCTACTGACAGCTATACAAAGCTTAGGTGCAAAACAATTGCTACTTAAACTGCTCTATTCATAAAGTATCTTCTTTAGCATCACATTTACTTTGTCATTTATATTTTACCTATAGCTTCTGCAAGTCTTTCCTGATTTATGCCTTTCCCATAGTATGCCTGAGATGATATTTTGTTAACTAAGCCCTATGTTTACTCTCCAAAAATATATTTTATTGGAGATTTGTGCTTTATTATGATCCAATCGAAAATAGGATAACATGAAGAAAAAATATGTTCTCTTATTTATGTGAAATGGCATAACCTTCAAATGACAGTAGCTACAAAAATCCACTGCTCATGATTAAAACACCACATGCCTAGCATTTAGTTTCCATTTGTAAATTCATCTCTCTTGGGTTTCACGTTGTGTCGGTCAGACTCAAAAAACCCCTTTCCTAATTCAGTAAATATAATTAGAAAATGCATATATTTCAACAACTAAGCATAACAGTGAAACAGAATTATATGGAACATTCGGCCATTGGTCTCCTTGAAGTTTTTTTCTTATTTCACAAACTTACAGAGCTTCTACACTGTGTGGGTCCTTTTATGGTAGTTAAGATAACTGTTCAAAATAAAACATTTTCCACACTCCATGCATTTATAGGGCTTCTCCCTTGTGTGGGTCCTTTTATGGGTGTAAAGAGAACTGTTTGTAGCAAAACTCTTTCCACATTCCATGCATTTATAAGCCTTCTCCCCGGTGTGGATCTTTTTATGGATGGTAAGATTACCGTTGGTAGAAAAACTCTTTCCACATTCCACACATTTATAAGGCTTCTCCCCTGTATGAATCCGGTAATGTAAAGTGAGGGAATTATTAAAAGTGAAGCTCATTCCACATTCCATGCATTTATAAGGCTTCTCCCTTGTGTGGGTCCTTTTATGCGTGTTAAGGTAACTGTTCGTAGAAAAACTCTTTCCACATTCCATGCATTTATAAGGCTTCTCCCCTGAGTGGATCTTTTTATGGATGTTAAGATAACTCTTCGTAGAAAAACTCTTGCCACATTCCACACATTTATAAGGCTTCTCCCCTGTATGGCTCCGGTAATGCAAAGTAAGAGAATAATTAGAAGCGAAGCTCTTTCCACATTCCATGCATTTATAAGGCTTCTCCCCCGTGTGGATCCTTTTATGGATGTTAAGATAACAGTTGGTAGAAAAACTCTTTCCACACTCCATGCATTTATGAGGCTTCTCCCCTGTGTGGATCTTTTTATGGATGGTAAGATTACCCTTGGTAGAAAAACTCTTTCCACATTCCATGCATTTATAAGGCTTCTCCCACGTGTGGATCTTTTTATGGATGGCAAGATAACCATTGGTAGAAAAACTCTTTCCACATTCCACAGATTTATAAGGCTTCTCCCTTGTATGAATCCAGTAATGGGAAGTAAGAGAAGAACTAAAAGTGAAGCTCATTCCACACTCCATGCATTTATAGGGCTTCTCCCCTGTGTGGATCTTTTTATGGGTGGTAAGATAACCGTTGGTAGAAAAACTCTTTCCACATTCCATACATTTATAAGGCTTCTCCCCTGTATGGATCCGGTAATGAGAAGTAAGAGACGAACTAGAAGTGAAGCTCTTTCCACAGTCCATGCATTTATAAGGCTTCTCCCCTGTATGGACCCTTAAGTGGGAAGTAAGAGAAGAACTAGAAGTGAAGCTCTTTCCACAGTCCATGCATTTATAGGGCTTCTCGCCTGTGTGGATCCTTCTATGTAATCTAAGATAACTTCTAAAAATAAAGCTCTTTCCACATTCCATGCATTTATAGGGCTTCTCGCCTGTATGGATCCTTCTATGTGACCTAAGATAACTTCTAAAAATAAAGCTCTTTCCACACTCCATGCATTTATAGGCCTTCTCGCCTGCGTGGGTCCTTTTTTGAGATGTATGGGACCCATTTTTATTAGGAAGAGACAAGGTCCATTTTTTGTAATTTTTTCCATTGTCTCTACATATGTAATCTTCTCCTTTGGTTTGAGTTTGGCAGTATTTATTTACATTTAATTTCTTTATGAATAACTTTATATGATTTCCAATATATTTCTTTTTTATTTTCCCTTGTTGGACCACAGAGGCTTTAGTTGGTGCATGAACAGAAAATGAATTTTTCCGATTGCAGTTATTTGACTGGTTTTTCTCATGGCTTTCTACTTCCATTAGATCTGTGGCGTTTTTCGTATTGTAGCCACGAGTGATCATTTGGAGTAGTTCCCAGGAATCTTCATATTCCTCTCCATTACCTTCACAGGAAAATAAAAATAACTTTAGGGAAAAAGAGCAAAGCATAGGAAGTTTGAATATAATGAAAAAACAAACTGCTTCAATCTTGTCAGAGAAGCCCTTCAAGAATTTGATTTGGATTTTCTTGATTAAAATTTTGGAAGATAAATCTAGCTTTGTATGGCTAGGGCAAAACCATAGATTAAATATCAAATTCTCCAGAATTCAAACGAAAGGGGAAGGTTTGGTTTGCCTGATTTGAAATTGGAATTTGTAGTCTGCTATATAGTTTGGATAATAAACAGGAGTTATTTAGAATGAAGAGAATGTTATAACTACAGTAAGGGAAAAAAATCCAGAAAAACACATTTCAAAAAAGATATAAATTGATTTGCATTTTAATAAGTGAAATAAATATTTGATCCCCTATCAAACAGCAAGCTTTCTGGTTCCCAGGTGTCTTTTATACAGGTAATGAGCTGAGGATTTGGTTTTCCCGATTTGAAATTGGACTTTGTAGTCTGCTCTGTGGTTTGGATAAGAAATAGGAGTTGCTCAGAATTAAGAGAATGTTATAACTAGAAGGGCATGACAGAGGTTTGCATGTCATGGATTTTTGTGATACGATAAATTTAGGCTAAATCCACAGCAGGGGTGTCAAACTGCTGGCCCGTGGGGTGGATGCGTCATGGCAAACCACATCCACCCCATTGCCGGCAATGGCAAAAAAGTCACAATATGTCATCAGACGTCATGTGACGTTGCGGGATTGACACCCCTGATCTACAGTTTAAAACCATAATATTAGAAATATCAAGTTGAGAATATGAAACAGATATAAAATCAGGCTGTGCCCCAAAACATCTTCATGACTGTCAGCACAGGAAAAGACAATGGATCACATGTTGAGAGCCATTAGAACCTGAGATGCAGGAATACCAAACTAAGTCAAGAATGGCAAAAGGATATAACTGTCAGTCGTTTTCATATTGTCAGAAAGATTCCAGGTAGATAAAGGGAACTATAGTGTTTAACAAGATAAAGCAGAATTTGAATCTCAAGTTGTGTACAAAAGATATGTAATTATTAAAACCTCTAATCAGGCTGAGGAATATGAACAGAAAAATATTCAAAAGTGTATAAATGTACCCGAAACTAATATTGGAAATGTAGACAAGATAAACGATCATTTTGTCGTGCTCTGGTGGACTTGTAAAAAAGCTAGAAAACTTTGAATTCAAAGACATTCAGTGATAATGAGAACTTTAAAGATTAATATCCAATTGTAATCAAAACACTTTATGTTGGCACTAAGCAACAGTCATTGAAGATTGTTTCTGAGTAGGATAACCGTAATGAGACTATTATACACAAAAAGCTGGAAGGGCTCTTACCCAAAGAGGCCACGTTTCTATGATTTTCCAGCATGACTTCCCAATGCAGCGCTTTTTGGTCAGCATCCAGCTGAGACCACTCCTCTTCGGAGAAATACACAGCCACCTCCTTAAAGGACACAAGGCCGTTCTGAATGACAAGAAAACAGATCAAAAACTGGGAGGATTTTAAAGACAAACAAAGATGTACATTTCAGGCCATTCAGTGAAAGGAATCCCACTTGTCGTCTGGATTGTTTGGTCACAAATTCCAGGCACAAATTGGATTATTAGAAATTACTTTAAAAGCTGAGGGGCCTTGATCTGGCCACCCTCTTTGGATTTTAACAGTCTGCTTCATCTGTTAACCTGGTGCCATTATTTTTCTTATCACTGGCTATAAACAAGGCGTTTTAGAACCTGTAAGGTGCCAATGTGATTCTTTCCGTTATTATTGAGTAGCCTTGCTCAATTCCATGTAAGAGAATTACTAATAGGATCACTAATAATAATAATCAGCAAACATTAAAACTGTGAAAAGTTTATTTTTTATTATCCCTCTCTTACGTGAGTTGGAGTTTCAACCACTCTTTCAGCATCAGCATAAAAAGGAGTCAAATTCGTTCTATTCTTCCCTGTGAGGGAGACAGAATTTTTAAATGAATAATTAATAAAATAGCAGAAGGCATTCTATAGAAGAGAAGAGATAGAGAATGTAAGACAGCTGGGACCTCTCTTGGGAATGGGTGGAACTTTCGATTACCATCTGAAATGTCCTGAGTTGCGGATTCCTGATAGATCCTCCTGGAAAACAGTTCCTGATGAGTATTTGATGAATTCCTCCTCATAGGATCTCTGGTTTGCAGAATGAAAGACTTGAAATAGGAGGCAGGAGAAAAGAAAAGAAAAATAAATAAGATATCACAAAACATGAAGCGGATTCTTCTTCTATAAAAACAATATCTCTCAATGAGCCTAAAATTTTAAGGAAGAAACAACTGTCTCCAGTCTATCTTCTAGAATGGATAATGGAACAATGTCCTGCAAGAACTAGTGAAACATCCCCACATATTATGAAGAGCAGAAAAGTAGGGAAGGGAGGGGTGAAAAATTCAAACACATTCTTCTGGATTTCAAAGATGAAGGTCTCTCACCTGAAATTCGACTTGCTCCTTCTGCTCCTCTGCCTGACTCATGAGGAAGCCTTCCGCCAGGGCCACCGCTTGGGAGCTGGTCTCTGTTCCACACTCCCGCAACCAGTTTTCCATCTGTGGGGGCAGAAGGGCCAGGAGCTGCTCCAGAACAACCAGGTCCAATATTTGGGTTTTAGTGTGCTTTTCTAACACCAGCCACTGACTATAAAAGTTGTGGAGTCGGCTGCAAAGTCCTCGGGGACCTTCAGTCTCCTGATATTGGATGTCTCTGAAGTTCCAGGGCTGAATCTCTGAAGGGATGATGGGTTTCTCCTCCAGGATCTTCTGCCCAATTTTTGCCCAGATCTTCCCACAGCTGCCAGGCTCAACAGCAGAGGGGCCTTTTCCAGTTCCCTCACTTGCTAACGATTGTTTCTGCATCCTTTGTCTGTCCTGTAAAGAAATTCCAGATAGGTCGGAGGAATCTTGCAGATCTACAAACACCTTTTTATTCATAGGACTATTCACGTAACTTCAGGATTGACCACAAAGGATATCCAGGCCCTTCGCCCAAGAGTTAACTTTTTGTTGTTAGGAAGGTTGTTGAGATGACTCTAGTTTCTGCATCTGGGATGGAAAAGAAAATAAATTCAAAGAATGAGAAGGTGGTGGACTTAAACATTGAACAACATTCATCTTCATGAAAGTGAAAACTCAACATTGGGCACTATCTAACAAAGTGAAATTCAATGGTGAAAAAAGTAGGTTCTACACATAGGCAAGAAAAATCAAATGCAGAGATATAGGTGGTACCTTCTCAATAGTAGTAACTGTGAGAGGGATCTCAGAGTCCTAGTGGACAATCATTTAACTTTGAGCCAGCAGTGTGCTGCAGCTGTCAAAAAAGCCAACAGAGTTCTAGGTTGTATTAACAGAGGAATGGAATCAAGATCACCTGAAATGTTAATACTACTTTACAATGCCTTGGTAAGGCCACACTTGCAATCCTGCATCCAGTTTTCGTTGCGACGATGTAAAAAACATTTTGAGACTCTAGAAACAGTGCACAGAAGAACAATAAAGAGAATTAGGGGACTTGAGGCTAGAACATATAAAGAACGGTTGTTAGAATTGAGTATGTCTAGCTTAATGAAGAGAAGGACCAGGGCTGACATGACGTCAGTGTTCTCAGGGGCTTCCACAAAGAGGAAGTCAAGCTATTATCCAAAGCACCTCAAGGAAGGACAAGAAACAATGGATAAAAAGTAATCAAGGAGAGAAGAACATAGAACTAACTAAGGAGAGATTTTCTGACCTTTAGAACAATTAATCAGTGAAACAACTTGCCTCCAGAACTTGAGAATGCTTCCATTCTAGAAATTTTTAAGAAGAGACTGGTCAACCTTCGCTTAGGGTTCATAAAGATGCCAGAAGTCAAGGAGCTTAAGAAACTGGAATGGAATGCAGAATTTTGACTCATGTTTCTTCTGCTTCAGGTTGATACATTTAGGCATTATAGGCATTCATTAAGGATGTTCCTCACTCTTGTTTTTAAGTTTGTATGTGTGTAAGTGACTGGAGCCATAGAGAAGAGAAAAGGAGGAAGTTCCAGAAATGGTTTGTCCCAAGAAAGAAAAGTTTACCTTTTATCAGGTGTCTTAGTGAGGAAAAGGAAGAGGACCCCTAACATGGAATAATACTGAGTGAAATGATCCTGGGAAGGAACAACATTCTAACGATGCCATGAAGATTGAGTTCACATCAAATGAAATGTCAAGGGAAGGACTCTGGCTTAGGATGCTTAATTCCTGTTTTTCAGTGCTGACTTTCGGGGAACAAAGTCATAATATAAAACGAAGGCTGATTCACACAATTTGCCCTGACCCCAAACTGGTTAACCAACCGGATAGGAAAAGTTCACATGAAACGCAGGGCTTGAAACAACACAGCTGAAAAAGATGTTCACCC